GGTCCCCCCAAGCCCCAGGCTCTCTGCCACCCTCTCCTCACTGTGCCCCTCCCCACCAGGCCCCACAGGCACCCCGGTCCCAAGCCCCAGGATCTCTGCCAACCCCTCACTGTGCCTCTCCCCAGGGTCTGGATGTCCTACGGCTCCCCCCACTGACCTGCCCTGCTCTTCAGGGCCTCCAAAGCCTCCAGCTCCACGGGCATCACCATGCTGTCAAAGCGACCCAGGTCTGTGGAGGTCACCACACTTCTAGGGGCAGGAAGGGCCACCAGATGTGTTTTGGTGGGGAGGGCTCAGCACAGGAAAGCTCTGCCTCTGTGCGTGCCATCCCCGCCCCTGCCCATCCACCTGTCCCCTCACACCTGATGTCCCTCAGCAGCAGCAGCTTCTCTGGCCGGTCCAGGATGGCCAGCAGGGGCCGCACCAGGTCCTCCACCCCGCCTTCATGCACATACTACAGAGACAGATGCATGGTCAGGCAGCCTTGAGGGCCCAGGGCCACCCACCCACTGAGCTTGGGAACTGTCCCTCCACCTCCAGGGCTACAAGATGGTCTTGGCACTCTTTGGGACCACAAGGAAGCCTACAGCAAGAACAGATCTGCGGGCTGGAGAGATGGCTCAGTGGTCTAAAACACCTACTTAGAACAAGCTTAGCAAAGCATCAGGGACCGCGGTTCGATCCCCCAGCACCACATGCCAGCCAGCCCCGCCCCCTGGTGGGCTGAGCTGGCCACACACACACACCACTCTCTCTCTCTCTCTCTCTCTCTCTCTCTCTCTCTCTCTCTCTCTCTAATAAATAAATAAATAAATAAAATTAAAAAAAAAAACTTTAAAAAAAAAAAAAAAAAAAAAAAAAAAAAAAAAAAACTTTAAAAAAAAAAAAAAAAAAAAAGAACAGATCTGCAACAACAGCAACAATGGCTTCGTAGTGAGGGCTCCCCCATACACACACTGAGGATTTAAGGGAAATGACACAAGGTAGGCAAACCCTCTGCCACTGAGCTACATCCTTAGACCTTTTATTCCTGAGAGGGACTTTCTAAATTGCCCAAGCTGGGCTTAAAATTCATGTTCCGTTTTGGGGCAGGCTAAACCTGCCTCAGCCTTCTCAGTATATGCCACAACACCTGCATGATATCCAAGAGATGAGCATCTCCATATTTTCTTCCATTACTTTTTATTTTTGTGGTGTCTGAACTTCAGTCCAGGGCCTTGTGTACACTAAGCACACATTCTGCCACTAAAACACACCTCCAGCCCACAATGCACTTGCTAACCCTTTTACAGCTGGCAACCACCCCGAGAGAGGAAGCTGCTGGGCAGAAAGCGCTGTGCTAGGGCCGCAGGGGGAAGGGAGTGTGTATAGGACCAGGCCTCCAGCTCGTGCCCACTCTGGCAAAGGAAGCCTCGGCCCTGTGCGAAAGGTGCTGGGGGTGAACTCCAGTCGCCACTCCACTGCTACACAGAGGGAGTCCCAGGCCTTGTTTGGGGCTGGGAGAGGACCTTGGGGAAGGGATGGCTTCCCAGGAAGCCCTTCTGCCAGCACTCTTTTGCCTGGCACTGCCTGAAATGTCAAGGCCTAGATTCGGGAGAGTTAGGGCCAGGCCCTACTTGAACAGCACTGCCCCTGGTGGTGAGGAGGAGCGCAACACAGGGCTGCACACAAGCAACAGCCGGTGGGCACAGACAAATAGCAGCACTGGTTCTGGTGCTGGACTGTTATTCATTAATATCTGGAAATAAGTCAAATGTAAACTACATGTGTGGCCCTGAGCCACACAAAAAAGCTGCCTATCCAGCCAGGCCTGCTTGTGCCCGCCTGTAATCCCAGCACTTGGAAGACGGAGGCAGTAGGATCACAGCAAGATAGAGGCCAGCCTAGACTACACTGCAAGATCCTGATTCAATAAGAGAAAAATCTACCATCTACACATACTGTGCAGAGCCAGCCACATGTGTGCACGCATTCCACGCTCACAGACGCACATTCAGCACCCATGGAATGCCATGCTTTGTACCAGCCACAGGGGTACAGTGATGCAGACCCAGAGCCTCAGGAACGCGGTCTGGTGGGGATGGGGAGTACAGCAGCCACGCAGGGCAGTGAGACGCAGAACGCCCACAAGAGCGCAGAGAAGTGGGAGGTTGGTGTGGGCACCACGGACGTGGCAGTTCCCATGCTGACCCCACAGGACAGACTGGAGCAGTGTGCAGGTGGCAGGAAGCGACCCAGTTGGTGTGAAGGCCAAGCCTGCCTCTGAGTACCGCGCGGGCCGCTTCCTTGGGCTGCAGCTCCTAGATGTGCAGGTCCCAACCTGGTTAAGCCGAGGCCATGGGCACCGCGAGATGAACAGGCCAGGGCCTCCCTGGAGGGGCTTCGCGGCTTGTCAGCGCGTAAGGTAAAGTTTGTGATCCAGGTGTGGCGGTGGAGAGACCGCTCACCTCCGCAACCTGGGGGACGCTACCAACCTCTGCGGTCAGGGCACTGTTCCAGAGGGTACAGGGAGCCCTGGGGTCTGGCTGAGACTCCATGTGGGTCCCGCCCGTAAGGGACGCACCGAGGAGATTTCCAGGGGTAGGGCTGGGCGCAGGAGCAGCCATAGAGACAGTCGCCGCGCCCACCTAGTGGTGGAGCCGCGGGTTGCAGGTCCATTAGAGGCGGACAAACGGCTGCCCACGCAGCACTCAGAGCCTACGGCACGCCTACTGGGTTTAGGGGCTCTCTAACACGCACCCTACCTCCAGGCCTTGGAAAGGGATGTACAAATGGCCACGTTTCAGGCATCTGGGGTTGGTGGGGGGGCACTGCAGGGACAGCGGGCACTTGCTAGCCAGAGCAGGGGGCTAACGTGGTTCCTCTCACGCAGCCTGGTTGATAAACCAGGTACTCAGAGGCTTGTGGCAGGCACAGCTCCCGACTGTGAGCCAGTCCATGCGTGCGTGCGTGCGTGCGTGCGTGCGTGCGTGCGTGCGTGTACAGACAATGGACAGCACGGGCGCAGGGTCAGGCCAAGAGAGGGCGCGGCGGCAGGGGTGGGAGGCTTACCCGAGAACAATGGCGCGTGACTGCCAGCACCTCGTCCTCGGTGAGCAGCCGGCGGGCCAGGTCCTGAATGAGAGGCCGCCGGCCATCCCAGGCCTGCACCCGCTCCTCCGCGCTGGGCGGCTGGCTGGAGGGGCTCCCAGAGCTGGCCAAGAACAGGGCCCGGCCCCTCTCCCGGTCTGCAGGGCAGGAGCCACGGGGTGTGATGGCTTTCCACAGCGAAGGCCAGGCCCCAAAGTAGGTGGGGCCGCCTGGTGCCAGGACCAGATTGCAGCTGCAGCGTGGGCTGCCCTCCGTGGCATCCTGTGGTGACCTGTCCACTGGAGTCCTCAGCCTTGACCCCACACCATTCTGTTTCTTTTCACATTTGGGTTTTTGCTTTTCTTTCTGGCACTGGGGACAGCAGGGACTTCACACTGAGCTACATTTTATTTATTTTTGGGTTTTTTTTTGGGGGGAACTGGGGATTGAACTCAGATCCATGCATTTGCCAGTCAAGCGCTTATCCTACTGAGCCATCTCCCCGGCCCCTCTTTTTATTTTTTGAGGCAGGCTCTAAGTTGCAACATTGCCCAGGTGTGCTTGAACTGGCCATCTTTCTGCCTCAGCCTCCTAAAGTGCTGGGGTGGCAGATATGCAAAACCCAGCCTGGGTCTAGTCAGTGCCTTCCTGGAGCTTTGGCTTAATGACCCCCATGTCCTCTAAACATACACTGGTCTGTTCCCCAGTGGCATCCTAGCTCAGTTTCTCATTGCCCTCCAATTTGTCTTTTGGGGTCTCATCACAAGCCCTCAAAATGTATTTTGAGGTTGCACTTATCTGCCTGCAACCTTCTGTTTCCTAGGAAGCTTGGTCCAGTTCTTCGTGCTGCCCCGGCGGCACCTCTCTGCCCAGCTGCCCCTGCATGGCCCCACTGAGTACCACTTAGTGGCCCACAGACACTAAGCTGACCCCAGCATGCACCTGCCTGTTGCTCTACTGCAGACCAGGTCATGGACAGGGACATACAACTTACCACGTCTCAGTCTCCAGGTGACAAACTTCTGCACAGGCCCTGCACTCCCTGTGAGGAGAGGAAGCTCAGCTGAGTCTGGAAGTGAAGGTTGGGATCTGGATGGATGGAGCTTGGGGTGACAGGAGGCGGCACCAGGCGACAAGAGGCCTGGCCTGCTGGGCCAGGTGGCCTTGGCCAGCTAGAGACTTCGCTCAAAGCAGGTGCAGGGAGTCAGAGAAGACTTGGGATTGAGAAGTGGCATAGAGACCCCCCGAAGAGTATGGTTGGAAGGAACTCAAAGGGGTGAATGGGGGACTTACCTTGGAGGGACAGAGGGAAAGAGTAGCCTCGGGAGAAGAGAGAGGAGTAGCCAGAGAGACAGCTGAGAAGCAGGAAAGCACAAAGCCGAGGGAGCTGAGGGAGAAAGCAGCAGGAGGGGCAGTCACCCTACTCTGGAGGGATGTGTCTACTGCAGACCAGCACCATATTGCCCCCGGCAAGGACCAGGGTGGGGAGCGCCTGGCTGCTCATCCTCTGGCTGCTTTCACCCAAACAACATTCACCCTTCCTTCTGGAAACAGCACCTGGCAGTCCTGGGCACCTGCCCTCTCTCTGGGTGGGCACACCCCAACCTGTCTCATGAAGGAGCCTCCTGGTGGTTTGTTCACAGGGTGGCCCTGTGGCCACAACAGGGCCATGACAGGGCCCAGGAGCAGTGAGGGCTTAGCCAAAGCTCTCAGGGTGCTCAGCAAGAGTAGCAGTGGCACTTCCGTACAAGGTGGCAAAGCCAGCCCAGAAGAGGAGGACCAAAGAGGTGGGGGCCACATGTCTGGGGACACTGTTCAGATCTTCAGGCCAGCCCCCGGGCCCTCAGTCCAGACTCTGAGCCTCCCAGGCATGCGTGGCCTCAGTATGAAGACAGCCGAGGGCTGGGCCTCCTGCTGACCCGGATCTGCAGATAGCCTTGCGGACGGTCCTAGACGTGGACCGGGCACATGGAGCTCTGTGTAGATGGCGTGAAGCTAGATGTTGGGCAAAGGCAGGCCCCACATCCCTGCCACCAAGATCAGGGCCCTGAGCGCCTGAGACCAATTCTCCACCACAGAACTGTGCTGTGCTGTGCTCTCTCACAATCTTGCTTTCCCTTTCTGGAAAGTGGGGTGAAGTAGGGTGACAGGGTGTTCAAAGTCCCTTCTGTGCAGCCGAGGTGGCACTGTGTGAGCTCTGCTGATTTGCTCACTCCGCTCTACTACCAAGGGAGCAGGGGTCTCCTATTTTACCAGCATGGGGTAGTGAGGGTGACGGATGGCACCAGCTGGGTGCCCAGCTGGTGGACCTGGCCCTACACCCTCCTCCCTACCTTTGTCCAGGTCCAGATGAGGGTGGGCTTTGGCTGGGCTCCTGCTGTCCAGCGTCCAGGCCTCTCTGCACCCGGCCCCTGTGTGCTGTCCCTGCCACCCTCCCTTGAAAAATAGGTTCATCAGCGTCTTGGAGCGTTGCAGAGGCCCCTTCTCCCCAGAGGACCCTGACTTCTCCTTCTTCCGCTGCCTCTTCTCCTCTGCAGACACAGGGGGGACCGGGAGTTGCAAGGAGGGGCAGGGCGTGGGGAGGGCAGGGGGCTCCCCGTCCTCCCTGTCATGCTGAGTCACATGGGTCTGCTTCTTCTCTGGTCATGCCCCTCCCCATGCAGGCTGTGGCTACGTGAGAGGTTGGTCTTGGGAAGGAAAGGAGAGGGCGAGAGGCCATGTGCAGGCTAGACCTCAGAGCAGACCAGAGCTTCTGGGGTCCTAGGGTGGCTCTGGGCCCAGAGTAGGAGCTGGATATATTTCCAAGTGGTCCCGGGTCAAGGCTGGGGCAAGTGGAGTTCTGGGCCCAGACCTGACCGGGAGGCAGGGTCAGGAGCAGGGCTACAGAGAGCTGTGGTCCACATCCCACATACCCCACAGGGTCAGCTGGCTCCGGGAGCGTGTGATGGGGGGCCGGGGCCGACTGAGCGCCAGCAGCAGTGCAGTCTTGGGGGACTCGGAGGGGACAGCGGCAAGGCGGTGGGAGGCTGGGGGGCCATCAGTGCGAATGGCCGTGTCCCTGAGAATGACCGTGGGCCGCACACTGCACCAGGTCTCCACGCGCCCACCACCCTCAGGCTCTGTCTGCATGGCAGTGTCTGCCCTGCCCCAGCCTGGGCCATGGCCAACGGGCTCCTCCAGTCCCAGGCTGGTATCCATCTGGTCAGAGGGCAGGGAGCCCGAGCCGTAGGGGATGCTGGAGGCACAGGAGGAGACGCTGGAGCTGCTCTCAGAGGCGGGGGTCAGCTGCGGCAGCGCCCCACAGTTCACTGCAGGGAGAGGGGATGGCATCTCAAGCCTCTGGCTAGTGAGCACCCTGTGACTCGTGGGCCTTGGGGCTGGGGTGGAGGAAGGACTGTCAGGTCACGGGAGTCAGAGCCACTGCCGTCCTGCCACCAACCCAGGAAGCCTGAGAGCTGCTTCTGGATTCACAGGAGCCCCAGGCCTGCAGCTGGAATTGAGTCTGCAAGCCCTCAGGGGGGCCTGCAGGCAGTTCTGGGGAGCCTGGCCATACCCTTTCCTTTCTCAGAAATCTGACCCCCATCTTCCCTCCATCTCGGGTGCCTGAGCCACTTACATCGGTCCAGCCAACAGTATTCAGAAACCATCTCCTTGTAGGCAGGGTACCGGCCAGTCTCCTGCAAGGGCACAGTGGGAATGGCAGAGCAGGTGGGAGAGCAGAAGGAGAGGAACAGGGCAGGAGTACACTTCTCAACTCCATCTCTCTCCTCGGAGTCACAGTGCTCTGGCCCATGGTTCCTTGTGGCGCAGGGCCTTTGCACTTGCTCTTCCTACCCCTGAACCTCTCCTTCAGCTCCTCATGTGGCTTGCTTGTGCTTGTGCTTTAGGTACCCACAGGGGCTGCTCACTGCCCTGACACAGGCGCTTTCTAGACTACTCTTCATAGCCATATTCACAGCCTGTAAGAACCGTCTGCCCCCAGGAGCAGAGATCCTTCGACCCTGCTCATTGCTGCAGCTGGCACAGTGGCCAGCACCTAGAAGATGTTTAAAGATACTATCAAACAATAAATAAGGGGTGGGCATGAGTTCACAGGGATGTCTGGGATGATGTGAAGGGAGGGGGAGGGGGAGTAGAGGTGGGGTGCTGAAGAAAGTGAGTGGTGAAGGTGCAGGAAGCACAGGGTAGAAGGGGGCCGGCTGGGGACTCAGGGAGGGAGGCACAAGCCCCATCTTCCAGGGGGAAGACCTGGCCCTGGGCACTCCTGAAAGTGGCACAAGAGATGCAGTCCAAGGCCCCTGGTGCTCCCTACCAGGTCCTGCCCCAAGGTGCAGTGGCGCTGCCTCTCGCAGGGCGGGGCATGGGGTCCTCCAGCCCTAGGTCCCCATTCAGCAGAGGTACCACCAGGCCCTGTGGGGGCAGGCTGGGGCCAGGGTCAGGTGCAGCACTCACAGATTGTGCTCCTGTGCCTCTGCGGGCTTCAGTCTCTTACAGAACAGAGTTGAGGAGCACACTTGGCCTCCCTTCCCCATGCCGTGGAGATGGCATCCTTGGCAGAGCAGGGCGTCTAGCAGCGCACAAGCAGTCAAGGAAGCCCTGCCTGCAGCCCAGCTCCCGGCTCCCACAGCCCTGCCTACCTTGATTGTCAGCATGATGTGTGTCTGGCCCTTCAGTACCTCCACCGCCTGGCTGTGGCTGATGTCGTCAAACTGGACACCGTTGGCTGCCAGGACCTGGTCCCCCACTTTGATGCCATTCTCCTCGGCCAGCCCACCGTGGTCCACTCTGGGGTCAGATAAGGATGGGTGGCGCAAGCCTGGCAGTCTCTCTGCCCCAGCATGGGCCCTCTCCCGAGCACCTTTGCTTGGGCCCTCACTTGGACACGTAGATGCCCAGGCCAAATTCCTTGCCCCCGCGAATGTTGAAGCCCAGACAGAAGTCGTCAGAGGTCGTGTACAGGTGGACGATGCGCCGCATGCCATCTTCTGAGCCGCTGTCTGATGGCGACGAGCCACACCGCTCTACCACCAGCCGCCGGTTCACCACATCCACCCTGGACATAGTGAGGGGCCTCAGCTGCACCTGCTGCCTCCTTCCCAGGAGCCCTGGCAACTGCTCGAGGAAGGGGTTGCCTGCTCCAGGCTGGGATGCTCAGGGGGACCTAGGGTGCGGCACGGTGAGGAAAGGCCCCAATCCCTCTTTTCACAGAGCAGCTACAGCACTCGTTTTCCTTCCTTCCTCCCTCTCTTCCTCCCAGCGTTGATGGAGAGCACACACTGTGCATTCAGCTAGTACGCATCCCCAGGGCTTGTCTCTGATCTAAGGCCTGCATGTGCAGGGTGTGACAGAAAGCTGAGCTGATGGGGCTGGTGGAGGGCAGTGGGCCACCTCTAATGTCAGAGTGAGGCCTCCAGAACCAGCATTTTAGTGCCCAGAGCTGGGGGAGGGGCAGGGTGGGACTACGCTCACCACGTGGTCTTCTCCTTGGAGAACTTGATGCCCGGCACGCGGCCCATGCGGCGCACAGTCAGGTGCAGGCGGCTGCTGCCGGTCAGCACCTTCACAGCACTGCCCATGGTGGTGCTCTCCAGGCTCAGCCCATTCACCTCGGTGATCTTGTCGCCCACACACAGGCCAGCCCGCTCTGCAAGGCGAGGTGCTGCTGACCTCCCCTCCAGAGGTCTGGCCTCTGCTGCAGGCCAGCGCCCACTTCCCCCCACCCCGCCCGCCCATGGCCTCACTCACCCGCACTGCTCCCCTCCTCCACCTTGCTGACGAAGATCCCCAACCCGTGCTCAGAGCCACCCCGCACGCTGAACCCCAGCCGTCCTGCTGGGCTCTTCTCCACATCCACAGCGTGGATGATGTCACTTTCATCGCTGTTGGCTGTGGGGACAAGGACATAGGCATGAGCCCATGCTCAGTGGGCACAGAGGACCCAGGGACTCTAATTTGGAGACCTACAAAGGCCAGAATGTGGACAGTCACAGAAGCACCAAGGTCCCTAAAGGGGTGCACACTTGGATTCCTGGTGCCTATGGACCCCAGAGGGTGTGGGGCAGGTGAGAACAGGTGTGTGTGTGCGTGCATGTAGCTTTGCAGCTCCCTGTACCCACATGCTTAAAACTCCTGCCAAGGAGTTTCAGAGGCACAGAAAGGAAGATTCAAGATTCCATTCTGGAAAGCTGAGGGGTCCTGGCCCTTTCACTTGCAGAAGAAATAACCCCGAATACTGTGAAGCATCCTGCAGAGGCACAAGATTGTCCTGATAGTGTGACCTGAAGGACAGAACCAAGCCCACACCACGGGACTAGGCAGTCAGATTTCGTAAGGAGAGGGTTTCCGAAACACTTCGATGGCGGTACAATGGAATTTCAGGGGCAGACCCATCTTGGAGTGTTGGAGCTGAGGTGGGGAAATCCTAATGCTATATCTACAATCATCTCTGGAGTCCCGTATGTCTCTCAGCTATGGTTCTAGGGCTCAGGGCTCAGGACCTGGGAGTCTACATGGAGAGTGCTGGGCAGGGTGGAGGGAGAGGTGCTTCCTAGAGGGCTGAGGTGGGGGTGCAGAGGGAAGGAGCGCCCCCAGGAAGGGATGCAAAGGGCCAGGCTCAGGCTTGGCCCAGAGGCCTTCTGGGCAGAGAAATTCAAGGAGAGAAGATGGTACGTTGATTTCCAGGTGAGAAGGTGAGATTTCTTCTCAGGCCAGACTTACTCTAGAGGTCTGAGAAGGTGAAATCTCTCTCTCCCTCTCTCCCTCTCTCCCTCTCTCTCTCTCTCTCTCTCTCTCTCTCTCTCTCTCTCTCTCTCACACACACACACACACTTCAATTTGATCTGGCAGAAATCAGGTTACAGTGCACCAGCAGGGAAGCTCAGACAGAAATCTCCATGGCGGATGGAAGCACTGATGTGGGGCCAACACCTGGGCAATCCTGGGGCTGGCAACGAACTGCAAGTCACACAGACCCAGACGGGGACACAGCCTCAGCCAGAGGCCACCTCCCCCACCCCCACCCCCGACCCCCATCGTTCCTTGGGGCCCTTCTCTCCCTCTCCACCCTGTAGGCACCCTTGGCCTCTTCCTGAACTGGCTGCCTCCTCCACCCCTGCATGGCCAGCTGGACGAGCGGCACACAGTCCCCGCCCCTGCCTGAGCTCCTGCATGGCCTCCTCTGCCTGCCTCTGCTTACTCCTTTCCCTTCCTGGTCGTCAGCTGCCCTGACCTCCTTCCTTCTCACACAGGCCAACTTTTGGATGTCCCCTCTGCCTGAAATGCTCTTGTGCCAGCATTTCTTCCTTTTTTTCTCTATGGCAGAACCGGGGATTGAACTCAGGCCCTTGCAATATTCTACTGAGCCATCTCCCCAGCCCCTGTGCCAGCGTTTCTAAGGCTATGCCTTTCCTCATTGCCTTCCTCTTCGCTACCACTCTCTCAGGAAGCCTGAGCTCCCCATAGGACAGCCATTCCCAGAGCAGGAGTAGAACCTGGAAGGTCACAGCGTGCATCCCTGGGCTTCGCAGCCAGCCCACAGGACCAGGAGCTCTGGAGCCGAGGGCCAGGGAGGCCTTGGCTCTGTCCTCCAGGCGGCCCAGCCCGTGCTGAAGTATGAGCACCACGCTTGTGTTTTAGCAATCATTTCAAACTATTTCCTTCTGGATTCTCCCACCCTTTGCTATCACCAACTATTCATGCCTTGTTTATTACCTGTCTCCTCTCACTGAGCTGTAAGCTCAATCATGGAAACTATAATTCTTTTCCACCAGTGTAGCCCAGTATGCCGCACAGTGCTTGGTATCTGAGCATTTTTTGAGTAAACAAGAGAACACATAGTTGAACGAATGAATGAGAATAGGAGAAAGTGCTGGTTTAGATGAAAGATCACGCACTTTCTATTTTCCTTTCTTTTGAGATGGAGTCTTCCTAAAATTGGTCTTAAGCTGGTGATTCTCCTGCCTCAGCCTCCAAAATAGCTAGCATTACAGCCATGTACCACAGCGCCAGGTTAGAGTATACATTTCTCTGGGACCAGTTGAGTTTTGGAGCTGGTGGGACTCCTGGGTTTCCCCATAAGGAGACACTCCCATGACGCTCCCCAGGTTCTCCCTCATCTGTTACATTATTTTCCTGAAGGGGTCTAGACAGGAGCACTTGCGCAGGTGTCCCCAGCTATTGTCTCACATGTCTCTCCCCACGATGAGGGGAGGACTGTGCATTCAAGGCAAGGCCTGGTGGGCAGACCGACGCCCCCAGCCTTCGGTGCCGCTCACTGCCTCCTGGCAGCGCATGGCAAGGTGAGGCAGGGGAGCAAGCAGTTGTGGCACTTTTGGCAGGTTCTCTGCAGGATTCTGAAAGATGGGCATGGAGTGTGTGGTATGCACAGTATATCAGAAGTTCTCTAATAATGGAGTGCCAGGTGCCCCATGCCTCCACTTCCACCCCCTGACCAGAATGACAGTGGTGACCCTTGGCAATGCACACCTGCCGTGGAAGATAGGGTGAGTGTGCCAGCCACAGGCAGAAGAAAGCCTGCTCCCCAGTAACACACTCGATCCCTGCCCCGACTGCCTGGGGGTGGGCAGGCCAGAGAGGCCCAAGCATCAGGTGGGAAATAGGGCCTACTGCAGATGCAGCCCCGGGAGTTCCTCTAGAGAAGAAAGAGGAGAGGAACTGGAGATAGCCATCTGGTCCTGCCTACAGAAGCCAGGGGTGCCAGGGCCCTCCCCTCCCCTGCCACATGGTTCTCCTGGTCCCCAGCTCTCTGCGCTTCACATCTGTCAGGGCACCAGGCTGTCTCCTAAGTGCCCTCCCTGCTGTGCTCTGCATTTGCTGCTTCCAACGTCTGTGGGCACCAGCTGCATCCCGACACCAGCTGCTCTTGCTTCAACCCGAGTCCTGCCACAATGTACATTTCTAGAAAGGGAAGACTGGGCCTAATCCATGCTGGCCCCCTGTAGGAGCTAATCCGTGGCACAGAACCAGTGTGCAAGATGGCAGTGTCCCTGCAGAGCATCTCCTGCTCTGCCTGCAGGCTCTTCTTTCTGCCCCTAAAGCCTGGGGACAGAGCTGGTCACACTACTCTCTGTCCTGTTCCATCTACCCTGGAAGGTACACACAACTGGACCTCTTTGAAGCCTCCAGGTCCAGCCTCCCCCTCTGACCCTGCTACCATCCTGAGCTTTTCGCAACCCAGCGCCCCGCCCGACCCACCTTCGATGGGGGAGTTGATGAGGATCACGCGGCCCATGGGCGATGAGGCTCGGATTCCGCGAGGGGGCCCATTCAGCAGCCGCTGCTGCTTCCTTAGCAGGTATCGCGTTGCGGTGGAGCCTGAGTCGCTGCCCAGGTGGCCTCGGGCGGACAGGGAGCTCAGGGAGCCGGAGCTGAGTTCGCCCAGCCCCAGTGGGTCCAAACCGGCCACAAAACCTCGCGCCATGGTGTGGATGGGCCGGCGCGGCACCCTACGGGCCTGGGAGGGATGTGGTAGCCCTCCAGCGGCCAGCACCTTGTGCCCTACACTCCATGGGCCTTTGCATCGCTGGGCCCCTCAGACAGCATGTGCTCAGACCTGGGCAGCGGCTCAGGGTTTGGCAGCGGATGATCGCTGCAGCGCTGTTAGTCTTCCGAGGCCCACCCCAGCCCCGGTTCAGGCCAAGATTCTTGGGTCCAGGTCACTGGCTCAGACCTCTGGAGCCTGAGTATACACAGTGGACTGATAGGGAGCTCTTCTGGCCGCCCATTTCCGCTCTCAGAGAGTCTTCTGCCTGAACCCAGGCCCCGCTGAAGCAGAGATGAGCATAGAGATGGGGTGACCCTGGGACTAAAAGTGTGTGAGAAAACTCGGGCTCTGACCACAGAGGCACCTCTCCCGCGTGTAAGAGGAGGGTTTAGCCTAGGGATACGGTTCAGGACCCAGGATCCCAGGCCCAGTTTGAGGCTCCGATGTGCTGTGGCTGCGTGACCCTCTCCCCAAGCACGGGCGGGGGATCTGCTAGTGAGGACCCTCCAACACCCTGTGCAGACCCGCAGCCGAATTCAGCAGAGCCGCTCCGGGACCCAGAGCACGGTACCCACCCCGTCCCCGCCCCGCCCCGCCCGGCCGGGCCTGGCTTTGCCCCTCACCTGCTCGGATGCCCTGCTTCGCCCTTGCAACCGGGCTTGCGCCACCGTCGCTGGGACCCTGCTGTGCCCCGCGGCCCAGCGCCGGGAGGGCGGGCCTGGGTGCCCCGAGCTCCCATTGGCCTGTGGGACCGCCAGTCACTTCCGCTCCGCACCTCCAGGTGGGCGTCCGGACCCATGCGTCCCCTAGCCCCGCCGCGGGCTCTGCAGAGTCGCCCCACTCCGTGAAGGATGTCACCAAGGAAGACATCCCTTGATGTCTTCAGCGGGACTTGAGCTCGGGGACAGAAGCGTGTGCAGGAGTGCATGGCGCAGTGACTGGGCGAGTCAGTTGTCTGTGTGTGGCTGACGGGGGCAGGAGGTAGGTGTCTCTGGCCGCCAGTTTGGAGAGGTGACGCGTAGGTCCGCGGTCCCCGACACCGTGTGTGCACCAGCATGTGTCTGACCCTCCCGATGTCTCCGGACTCAGAGGTCTTACGAGGCTCTCGCCCTCCAGTCACAGCCACTGGGATCAGGTCTGTGGTCCAGGGATACAGGTTAGGGACACGCCGAGTCTGGGGCCACAGTGCAGCAGGGGATTGCAAAAGCGGAGCGGGGAGGGGTGCAGCCATGAAAGGAGGCGATGCCAAGGGGCTGCGCCTCGAGCCGGGGGCCCGGGGAGGAGCCGGGGAGGTCTGGCAAGCGGACGCAGTCGCCGAGGCGTCACCTAACAGACTGCGGGTAACCGGAGCCCTGGCCGCCCACCGGCGCCGTTAGCCCAGACCCCCGCCGCGAGCAGGGCGCCTCTAGAGACCGGCTCGGGCATTGCAGGCGACGCGGCTGCCGCAGGTCGGTCTCTCCTCTCCGTCTCCTGCCTCACCCGGCAGGGAGAAGGCGAAGACGATCCCCGCCTGCGAAAGGATCTGGAGGGCGTGGGACCTGGTCCCGAATCTGGGCGTAGCTCCAGCGGCGACCACAGCGTCAGGTCGCAGAGCTCCGCCGCCCTAGCGCTCCGCCCGTGTCACGTGACGCCTAGCAGGCGGGCGGGGGAGGGTGTGTGCGGCAGTGGCGCGGACTGGCTGCAGCAGAGGAGAGCCGAGGCAGAAACCCTGGAAGCGTGAGTGCCGCTGTCGGCGGGTGTGGGGAGCGGAGGGGAGGGTGCAGGCCCGGTGCCTGGAGAATGGGCCTGTGAGATGCGCTCGCCCTCTGTCACAAGGGGTCAGGACCCTGGGCTCGGTGAAGCTGCATGGGGGCGACATTGACTGGGGGAGGAGCGTGGAGTGAAGCTGCCCGTGGTTACATTCAAATGTCTGCAATCCAGACTTGGGCCGTGTGTGTGTGTGTGTGTGTGTGTGTGCGCGCGCGCGCGCGCGTGTAACGGTCTCTGTGGTTGGTACGTACAGTGTGGGGCCACCGTTTGCATGTTTGGTAAGGTTGTGCCGGTTTGTGCGTGTGTGTCGGGCGTGTCTGCTTGTGAAGGAGGAAGTGAGGCTGCAGGGGATTAGTCATCCTGCAGGATTTTGCCTTGCGCAGCCAGATGGCTGCTCCAGGCTTTCTGGGCTGGGTGGAGGGGTGTCCGCTGAACCCTGCTCATTTGGGATGTGGGTAGCACAGAGAGAGCTAGGTGGGTGTCTGTGCCGGCCCTGCCCAGCCACCGGGCGGAAAAAGCCTGGGTCATTAGTGTGGGCTTCAGGAGAAAGGCCTGGAGGGGGCTGAGTGGGCGCCTGCGTGTGTGGACACGGCTGCCTTCTCCTTGAGCTCCAGAGCAGAGAGAGCTTGGGGAGGCCCAAAGCTCCGCTGCAGTCAGGGCTGGAGTGTGGAGAGCTCTCCCCAGACAGCCTCCAGGTTCGTACCCAGTCTCAGGACAGCTTCGGGCTGTGGCTGACATAGGCCTGGGTGTATAGTCATGCACGGTTTTGTGCATCTGGCATTCATGACTAGCTGCTTGGGATTAGTTGTTCATGCATCAGACACAGTTAAATCCCATCATGAAAATCTGCACCAGGCCAGATCACAGGGAGATCTCTTTTTCTGGTCTGTCCTGTATCTGTCCCCCAGTGCCCCCAGGCTGTAGGTCCCTGGCCAGGGCAGGGCCTAGGAAAGGACTCCTTCACCATTGCTTACCTATCTGTAGGCACCTTAAGTGCTCTTGAAGGCTCAGGGGCCGGGCAAGGGCCTCCAAGCTACATGAAACCTTTGGTCTCTGTCCCAGAAGCCCTCTGGCCTTGTGCCTGTCTTGCAGAAAATGGGTGAATTGCCCTTAGATATCAACATTCAGGAGCCTCGCTGGGACCAAAGCACTTTCCTGGGCAGAGCCCGGCACTTCTTTACTGTCACCGATCCCAGAAACCTGCTGCTGTCTGGGGCACAGCTGGAAGCTTCCCGGAACATTGTGCAGAACTACAGGTGATCCTTCCTCCACCTGACCTGTCACCTGGCATCTCATTCCTTGCTGATAATCTGGAGCACCCTCCTTAGTGATCCTGCTCCACAGCCCCCTCCTGCCAGCCGGCATCACAGACATCTATGGAACAGAGCTTTAGCCCAAATAATTTTATGGTGTTTGGCTTGAGGAGATGGGACTGATATTTATGAGGGGTGGGGCTGCCCTATACGCAAACCTTCTACAGGGATCTTTCCCACTACTGGTCCACTTGGCCCTTGCGCTTGTCAGGGAAGCACTTATTCAAGCACTGAGCCACCTCCCCGGCCCCTACTGGTCCACTCTCTGAAAGGCTAGAAGGGTTCAAGATCAATTCCCAAGGAAGTGGGAGGGCACTCCTCCTGTCATCAGGAGGAAAACTCTTTAATGCTCCTACCCTTTTTCTATCCTTTGGAAACTACCGCCACCTGTGACCCAGCAGAAACTGTGTGGCTAGAAGGGAAAGAGAAGTCCCCCTTCTGAGAAGCTTTGGTGCTCCCTCTAGTGACCTGTCCCCTAGAGACAAAGGGCTTCTTTACTCTGAGGTGGGGGCCAAAGTTCCTGACCTCTGTCTTCCCTGAGAGGCAGACAGAGCTTAGGAATCTGTCCAGAGAGCAGCCTGTCAGTGCCTTGCCAACTTCTGCAGGGCTGGGGTGGTGGCCCCGGGACTCACTGAGGACCAGCTGTGGAGGGCCAAGTACGTGTATGACTCTGCCTTCCACCCGGACACGGGAGAGAAGCTGGTCCTCATTGGCCGGATGTCCGCGCAGGTGCCCATGAACATGACCATCACAGGCTGCATGCTCACCTTCTACAGGCAGGTCCTCCTCCGTCCACTGCTGCGTACCACGAGCTAGTGTGTGCCTCGGTGGCTGTGTGCTTCCTCCTGGGCTAGTTTGGAGGAATCATGGTGGGTGGGAGCTGTTGTTAGCCCCTCCCATTCTCAGAACTCAGCCTGAGAAAGTGGGGGTGAGGGGGTAAGCAGGGGTGAGCAGAGCAGGTTCTAGGATCATCCACTGGGTCTCCTTGAGGGTTTGGGAAAGACCATTGGGGTTTTAGTATAGAGGCTCAAGGGTGGGGGACACTGTAGAGGGGGCAGGGGTAAGTACTGAACTTTTGTTCCCTCAGGAGGACCCCAACTGTGGTGTTCTGGCAGTGGGTGAATCAGTCCTTCAATGCCATTGTCAACTACTCCAACCGCAGCGGTGACGCTCCAATCTCCGTGCGGTGAGGCCACATCTCCAGGAGGGACTGTACCACTCCTCTCAGCTGCTCTTGATGCCCAGGGGTCAGCGAGTCTTCAGGCCCCCTGGGTCCAAGTTCCTTGAGGGACCCACTCCCCTTCAGAGGGAGGGAGTAGGCAGCTAAGGAGTTTAACGTGGGTGCTGGGGGGCCTTCCAGACCCTTCTAAGGTACCATGCACCACTGCTAGGCTCTTCGTCTCTCCCTTATGACCTGGCTCTTCCGCTCACAGGCAGCTGGGCACCGCCTATGTGAGTGCTACCACGGGGGCTGTGGCCACAGCTTTGGGGCTCAAATCTCTCACCAAGGTAAGGTTCCCCACTGTCCCCCATTCAGCCTTTACTTCTACCCCATTCTCCTTCAGTCCTGGCCTCCACCTATGGCCCTTAGGGCCACTGAACACCACTTTTCTTCCCCAGCACCTGCCCACCTTGGTTGGCAGATTTGTGCCCTTTGCAGCAGTGGCTGCTGCCAACTGCATCAACATCCCCCTGATGAGGCAGAGGTGAGCAGTCCTGGCTCCTGGCACAGACATGCCCAGTGTGCGTGTTTCACACCTCCAAGCTATGCCAACCAGCTCTGCATGGGGACAGTCCTCTCCCTCCCTACCATGAGCTGCTGGTCCTTACAGTCTGAGCCTGTGTTCTGGAACGACCCTGTCCCAGTGGATGAGGACCAGCCCCAGTGCGCTATAGGATGGAAATAGGGACCTGGGTCCAGGGTTGAACAGGACGCAGTTTATGGGGGACTTGTGGCAGCAACATGGCCCTGGCGGCAGCGAGATCGCTGTATACTGCTTAGGTAAGCACAGAGATCAGGGTTTGATCTCTGGCACCAGAGGCCATGCTGGCCCCATCTCCGGGCGTGCTAAGCCCGCCACCGAGTCCAGGTGTGGTGGTGCACGCCTGTAATCCCAGTGCTGGGGAGGCTGAAGACAGGAGGATCACTGAGTCTGAGCTGCATGGTGAGACTCTGTCCCAAATACATAAAGAAAAAAACAAATCACTGCATAGACGAGACTTGGGTTGGACAGAGGGGGTGTATGTGATGGTCAAGACAAAAGCAGCTATTTTGAGCCACAATGTACTCAAGCTGTTAGGAAGAGCAGGCATGGTCTTGGCAGCGACTGTACTTGGGTATGAGTGGTAAAGTACCTGGCCCTCTCGAGCCTTTACCCAAGGTCTTCTGGGACAAGCTGAGCAGCAGTACTGGGGCAGTATGGTGGTCATGGCTTGGGATAGCTGCGGTTGGGTCCCAGGGAGTGGGAGAACCGGCCTTTGGGTGCTGCACGTGTGCAGAACTCCAGGGAGCAGCTGCCTGTGTTGCAGAGGGTGCTTGGGGCCTCTGATGTAACCCCAGACCCCTTTTCTTCCTAGGGAGCTGCAGGTGGGCATCCCAGTGACTGATGAGCCAGGGCAGAGGCTGGGCCACTCGGTCACTGCAGCCAAGCAAGGGATCTTCCAGGTGGTGGTGTCAAGGATCGGGATGGCGATCCCTGCCATGGGTGAGGAGTGGCAGCTGTGGGGCACAGGAGGCTTTGAGAGAAGAGGGCTGAGGTTTGTGAGGTCTTTGGAATGACGCGGTAAGGGTCTGAGGAGAGTGAGTGGAGCTGTGAGGGGGCCTTTTCCCTTTGGGGGCTTTGACTTTGCCGCACTCATTTTATCTTCTGCCCTGCTCTCCCACAGCCATTCCTCCAGTGATCATGAATGCTTTGGAGAAGAAGGACTTCCTGAAGGTGGGTGACTCACTTTCCCCATCATGGAAGTTCTGGGGTCAGGGAAGAGGGTCAGCCCCCGCTGGGCCTGAGTGAGACTCACCATCCCTTCTCCCAGCCCTGCAGCTTACTTCATTTAGCAAGGATGAGCTGGGCTACAGGGAAGAGCAGGGAGGGAGCAGGGGAGAGCACAGCGGCTGAAGTACACGGCTTCCGTCCTGAAGGAGCTGGTGTCGCAGACGTGACAGTGAACCTCATCATTACGTTTGTGTCTCACTCATGCTGTCACTCAGTGACACCTACCAATAGATGCACACAATCCACACCCAGGCACATGAGACAGGGCCGCAGGGTGCTGGAGCACAGGCTCTGGCTGTGGAGGCAGCACAGAGTGAGACAGCCTCCCTGTACTCGTGAGGTTTATAGTCTCATGCAGAAACGGATGAACAGGGCTGGTGAGATGGCTCAGTGGTCTAAAGCACCTATTTAGAACAAGTTTAGCAAAAAGGGACCGCAGTTCAATCCCCAGCACCACATGCCAGCCAGCCCCGCCCCCTGGTGGGCTGAGCTGGCCACACACACACACACACACACACACAAATAAATAAAATAAAATTTAAAAAAAAAAGAAAGAAATGGATGAACAAAGAAGCAACCCATAACCATAGCATCAGATTATGAGCTTTGTAGGAAGCCAGTGTGGGAGGGCAGTGGCATGGGCTTATCAGAGGAGAGCTGCAGTCCCAAAGGATGAGAAGGGCCAGCCAGGCACAGCGCACAGAGGAGAATCTTGCAGGTAGAGAAAGTATCCGGGACAAAGGTCCTGAGGCAGGAGTTGCACACTCGAAGAACAGAATGGTGGTTCTTACAGTTAGTGCTAAGGAGACAGAGGAAGTGGGGGTTCAGAGTCTGCTTCTAGAAGAAAGCAACTCCCATAGTAACTGAGGGGAGAGAAAGGGTCACAGAGTACCATGGGTGCCAGCTCTGCTAGGTGCGACTGTGTGGGGTACTGGGAAGCATGTAGGCCTAGCCGGAGAGCCCAGCCTGCCACAGGCTTGGAGAAGAGCCAGGGACTGTACATGCATCCCAGGGCTCAAGGGCAGGACTGTGGGGACAGGCTAGAGGCCTGTGGGTAACAGGAAGGGGCTGGAGGGTGAGGCACAGAGCCCTTGCATTGTCTCTCTCTCCGCAGCGCCGGCCCTGGCTGGGGGCGCCCCTGCAGGTGGGGCTGGTGGGCTTCTGGTAAGTGTTCAAGGCCCAGCAGGGGCCCCGAGGCACACCTTGTCCATGGTGGGTGCGCAGGTCTTTGCTGCCTTTAAGGTGATTATATACATAATCCACTGGCACTCTCTGCCACCACAGGGCATACTGTACGTGGTAGGGGTGATCTGACATTAAAGGTTTGAAGAGTTCCAGTTTGCATCCACCAGAGAGCCATGGTGGCATCCCTCTGGCACCGTCCATAGCCTCCTGCTCATTTATTTCCTGATTCCACCACTTTCTGGCTGTGGAGACTTGGACAGGGCTTTGGGGGCTCTTTCCTCAGCTACAGCCTCATGTCAGGTCTGGGTTTAATATCCCCGAAAGGTCTTCATCAGTCTGCACCATAGGGCTGGGGATGTAGCTCTGAGCCTCTGCTTGGCACACATGAGGCCCTGGCTTCTATCCCTAGAAGCATAAAAAAAACAAAAAAGTCCACCTGCCCCCTCAGGGCTACCAGTACCTCTCTGGGTGGGATGCAGGGCGGGAACACTCTAGGCCCGTGTTTCACAAACCTTTCTAACACTCTTCACCTCCAGCCTGGTGTTTGCCACCCCTCTGTGCTGTGCCCTGTTCCCCCAGAGGAGGTGAGTGTTGCCCTAGCTTGGCCAAGAACGCTGCGCAGAGCTGCACATCTTGGGAATAGCTAGCGCTTTGGTGTGTCCTGGGGAGGCCTGGTGGGCCCTCAGCTGATCTGCGGAAGGAGCGTGCCAGTGAGCCAGCCCTTCTGGGAGCAGGGATGGGGCCGGGGCCGCTCAGCTGTACCCTTCTGTTGCAGCTCCATGCACCTGAGCAGGCTGGAGCCGGAGCTGAGAGCCCAGATCCATGAGGAGAACCCCAGCATCGAGGTGGTTTACTACAACAAGGGGCTTTGAAGAGGCCCGTCCCACCTCACCGCCAAGTACTGCTGCTTGAGGCCCTCCTGCTGTCTATGCCACTTGCTGTCTGCCTAGTACTCTTCAGGGAACTTGGTAGCACAGTAACCATTGAGACCAGCCATCCTTTATGCTGGGCGAGGCACCCTTATGAGGCACCTTTATAAGCCTTTCTCTCTCCTCTGTTTTCAAAAAGGGGAGTTGTACAATCACTCCTGGGTTACCTACTCACATACGGGATATGTGTAGGTGTTTAGACATTTGGTTTAGCAGCTGAGAGTGGACACACCGTCCTGGGACCACCTGATGTCTGGCTTCTCTTCTCAGCCACCAGCAAGCCAATTTATAGGTGCAACTTCCTCCCTAAGCCGTTCCCCTGGCCAAGTCACTTCCTACGGCACCTCAGCACTTCCAGACACAGGAGGAGCCCTAGGATAGTAGTGGACCAACTTGGTTCAGGTTTCTGATAACCTGGCTTCCAAAGTGGCTCAGGACCAGGGCTCGCAGAGGAAGGCATGTTGGGACCAAGGAGGTGGGGTACCTATGCTCTGTGCCACCCCTATCCTGGAGTAGCTCCATGTCTTCTGTATAGAACAGAAGAGCTGTCTCCTCTTGCCCCATAATGCCATGTGGCATCTTTAGATACAACCATAGAAGTTCTTGATCTCCTCTGGTTATGACCTCAGGCAGAAACCCCACAAGCCCAGCTCCTCTCCCAACCAGAAAGCCACACAGGCAGTGTGCCATCCCTGCAGGAACTGCCACCATACTCCCTCTCTAGGGCCATGGAAGGAGGGTGCTAAACCCCGCAGGCCCCAGTGCATGATCCAACGGTGGATATGTGTCCTATCAGCCCTTGTGGGGTCTACAACAGTCCTTGTCTTCACCTCTTTCCTTCCTTTGAGTGCTGGGGATAGAACCTAGGGCTCTGCATATTCTAGGCCAGTCCTCCACCACTGAGCCCCACCCTCAGGCTGTCCTGCTTTCCTGGGGCTTGGTCCTTCTCCCCCTCCATTGTCTCCAAGAGGAGGGCCTGGGCCTGGATGGACAGACCAAATGAAGGTGGGCTTTTGCACAGAACAGGGGGTGGTGAATCCTGAGTGATTCCAGCTCTCCCATGTCATGGCTGAAGAGCTGAGTGGGGTGGAGCAGAGGCCCCTCAGGATCCTAGGAGCTCACTTTCCTGCTTCTCTTACCCACTGCCCTGAAAGAGAACAGCTTCCACAGCCTGGTTAGCCAATAAACCCTGGGGCTGGGGAGAGAGCTCAGCAGCATAAGCACCGCCTGGCAAGCACAAGGTCTCGAGTTTGGTCCCCGGTACCACAAGAAAGAAAATATCTGCAGTCAATAAACCCTGCACCTGTCTATTTGTAGATCTGTCCTTGATTCCACTACCTGAGTGCCCAGGATGAAGTCAGCCTGCAGCTCTTTGCACACCAGGCCCTTGTCTGCAGGGAGTCTCATTCCCCAGCAGAGGGTGCTCTGAGCTTAGAAGATCGGCTTGCCATTCTCCTATTCCCTCCAAAGACGGAGCCCCGCCTTCATTTCCGGCTTTATCAGCTCTGGACTTCTTTGGTTTCCTGCAGGTCTATGGGATGGAGTGGTCATTTGTGATTCCCTCTGAAGAGAGAGAAAGGTCAAGGCCAGGACTGGCCAACTCCCTCAGAGAAGCTTTTAGGAGACGAACACCCTCACACCCTCATCAGTCATCAATCTGCAGGGACACAGGCCTGCAGAGCCCCTCCCCCACCCTCCTGCAAGTTCTCTAGGACTCCGACTTCTGTGCTTCTGCAGCCTCCTCTGTTTATTTCAGTGAGGCTGAAAGTTCATGCCTGTGGATGGCTGCTAAGAGCCACTGTTCACCAACTCACAGCTGCCACTTTGCCCTGTAGTCTTTAGCTGTGGTGAACACAAGGCAGTTACCCCGAGAGGGCATGATAAAATCCATTCTGGCTTCCAGCAGGGAAATAGTCCTTACCTGCCCAAAGCTGCATTAGGTGGTGGAGAAAAACGCTGGGGCTTTATGGTTCCCCAGCAGCCTGAGCAGCTCTTGGTCTGGGGTCACTCACTCACCTTGGGGTGAGCAGTGTACCCGCTGGGTGCCAGAGCTACATAGGACCTGGCCCACGTCCTGCCGTGTGCACCAGCAGAGTGCCCTGTCTGTTCTCTTGAGCTTCACAACCACACCGGGAGGCAGACGTGCCCTATGCTCATTCCTGCTTCCTGAAGCTGGGGAGCCCTGTGCTGCATCTCTGGCCTTCTAAACTTGAGTCAAGGGGCTGGTGAGATGGCTCAGTGGTCTAAAGCACCTACTTAGAACAAGCTCAGCAAAGCACAGGGCCCGCGGTTCAATCCCCCAGCACCACATGCCAGCCAGCCCAGCACCCTGGTGGGCTGAGCTGGCCACACACACACACACACACACACACACATAAATAAATTTAAAAAAAATAAAAAAAAATAAACTTGAGTCAAGGTGTCTAAATTGTCTAAGCTTGCCTTGAACTTGTGACCCTCCTGCCTCAGCTTCTCAGGTGGCAGGGATTACAGGTTCTGCCATGCACCTGGCAGGTCATGCCCACTGTTAGCAGAGTCACCGGGAACCATAGGAGGGCCACCCACAGTGTCATAGCAGAGCCACTGGGAACCTTAGGAGGGTCACCCACAGTGTCACAGCAGAGCCACTGGGAACTGTAGGAGGGTCACCCACAGTGTCATAGCAGAGCCACTGGGAACCTTAGGAGGGCCACCCACAGTGTCACCAGTAGGCAAGGCAGCAGGGTGTGAGCTGAGATGGGACTCTGGAGTCCCTGCACCCCCTCTGCATGGTCGGCTGCCATCCAGGTCACCTTTCTGGCCCCTCTGACATTCTGGGGCCCTTCTTCCCTGGATCCAGCAAAACCAGAACATCAAAACCAGTGACACATAGGTATACACAAATTGTTTACTAAAGCCACTAAGGAATTTCCAAACCCAACGGTCCATAGCTTGCATATAAGCAAAGATTCATAGTCTTGACTGAATATGGGACAACACTTAGCTGACCACTTAGCTTAGTCTCAGTTCCAGCCTTCCCTTCCGGTCTGACCAGTGCCTGGGATCAGCCTCCTGGAGCTCTTGTCAGTGCTGAAGCTTCTTTTGCAGGGCAGCTTTGGCCTTTGGGAATCCTTGTGTTTTCCCGGGAGAGTCTATGGAGGGTGAACCCATTCCTGCAGTAAGGTGCAGGAATCTGCAAGCAAACCCAGATCGTTTTATGACAGAATTACCATGCTCTGAAGATGACGCTAAGCCATCCTGAGAGCGCTGGCAGGGCTCAGCAGGCTGGCCACTATTCCGTCATCTTCCCTGCTTCGGCCTCATCAGCTTAGAAAATGTAGCAACAAGGTGCTTTACAGGCTCTCTAGGGATGAACTCTAGACGGGCACACTGCAGCTGTCTCCATGCCCTGCGGCTTTGCCTCAGAAACCAGTATTTGGTGGTTCTCCCTGCACAGGTACTCCGCCCCTCTCAGTGGACCTGCCACCTTGCGGGCTCAGGCTTCAGAGGCCCTGGGACTGGACCTGTGCCTGTGGCCTCCCTGCCCAGCCCTCCTCCCCTCACCTGGCTGCACTGCTCACCGCTCCGCACCACTCATGGCCCATGTTCTCAGGAGAATAGCAAGGGTCCTGGAGCACCGGCCTAGCTGGCTGCAGGGAGCCGGCCAGGGGCACATTGGGCCCCTCTGCTAGCACCCAAGCAGGAGTGGTGGGAGGGTGGGCTGGACCCCTGACTTATAGGTCAAGCAAAACCCCTCCGTTAGGTGTCAGCTTCAAGCCCACACCAGAGCCCTCAGGGGCTGCAGGCTAGGGGAAAGTCGGCTCCCTGCTGTGGCTCCTATCACTCTAAAACTGAGCTCGGCTCTGTTCCTTCCTGTTTCCTGGGTCAAGGCTTCAGAGCTACAGGCCTCCCATGGCCAGCTAGGCCCGCTCTTCCAAGTCTGCGTCTGTGTCTGAGATTTGCACTTCTGATCCTCTTCTTCTCTAACCTAGATCCTGGGCTGTGAAATCCCCCAAATCCCCTCCTTTCCCAAATTCAAAGCCTAATAGCTGCCCTGTGTCCTCCCCTTTGACTTCTGGAAATCCACGAGGTTTTCTAGGGTGGCCTCTGCTCCCAAGCCCTAATTTTTGCAACTGTCAGCACGTGAGGAAATATTTACTGCACCCTGTGCTTGCCTGGCTCTGGGTAGACATAGACGGTTTGGTGAACACGGAAACCACTCGTCTGCAGTAACTTCCTGCTGCAGGGATATAGTCCAGGTGCGACAGGTACTAAGGCACCTCTCCCTGCTTGGTGGGGTCACAGGCTGAGCCACCATGCCTTTGTGGTGTCTTTCTAGCAATTCTGAATGCAGGGGGCAGTGTGGGGAAGATGTCCTGTATATAGGCATAACTACTCTAAGACTGTTGCCATGCGTTTTCAGCATGTGCCAGTGCGTCTGCACCTTCTTAGCGCTGGCACTGGGCTGCTAACACGTAAGGCTTGCTCGAAGAGAGATGTCTGTGCCTTATTGTTGTCTAATTCCTGTAGAGTGGCCCGGAGCTAGGTTGTACGGGTCTTGGTGCTAAGGTTGCCTGGCCACAGCACCACAGCACAGTTGGTGGGATGGTGGTGCCAGGGGGCAATGCCAGGTATTGGTGGTGTAAGATAAGACATCAGCCTGCAGTATGACCGGAAGCATCACTTCGTGATTTTCAGGCTGCCTTCGGAGTCTGGTTCACCTGCTCGGGTTGTACACTACTGCTGGTGGTTTTTCCCTTGGTGCTTATTTCTGCAAAGCTGAGCCACAGGTGTCAGACTGCACAGCAGCTAGATGAGCCCACATTTTAGAAAAGATTCAGCTTCTGTTCAGTTGTCTCGAGCTTTCCCACCACTAAAGGAAGCTTCCTACACAAGAACAGGTAGATTCTCCAAAGCTTCTGTTTCTAATTGTGTCCCAGAGCACCCCAGCATGCAGTCACGAACCCACAAGACTGCTGAAAGGAAGACACAGCAGTTTTCAATGTATGTTGGATGAAGTAGCTGACAACGTGTGGCTGGAAGCGTTAGATCCGGCTGTGTTACACTTACTACCTCTTTGCAGAGCCAGGCTTTGATGATTGCTGTGATGAAAAGCAAAAAGCAAAAGCCAGGGTGAAACAGGGAGTGAGGGCGACTGTCTGAGGCAATGCTAAGAATTCGGAAGTTATGTACACATTAGTAACTGGACTTGAGAATGAAACTTTTAAAAAATGAAATTATTATTATTTTTTTTTTTTGCTGTACCAGGGCAGTGATTCTCACAATGTGTGTGTCAGGGGGCATTGAGGGTTTAAGTCCAGGGCCTCACACATGGTAGGCAAGAGTTCTAGCTCAGCCATATCTACCCCCTTAGTACTAGGGATTAAACCTAGTGGAGTCCTACCACTGTGTGATGTCCCCAGTTCCTTTTTATTTTTATTTGAGACAGGGTCTTGCTAAGTGGCCCAGGCTGGCCTCAAACTTGTAATCCTTTTGCCTCAGCCTTCCTAGTAGCTGGGACTACAAGTGTGCACTGCACCCAGTCAAATGTTTCTTTTGACCTAGAATGCCAGCAGGGGAAATCCTGTAAAATGTTCCATCTATTTAGAAAGTCTGACAGCCTCTGTCCTAAGTGAAGAAAGGAAGAAATGAAGTAATGAAAGACTAGCACAAGGGTGGTGTTAGGTCTCAGGCTTGTAAACTCACTGGCTAGCCCACCTTTCTAGGAAGCTTTCTCTTTCTGGATTCCTTCTTGTCTGAGGGCTGGGGCTGAACCCAGGCCTAACTGTATGCCAGACCAGTGCTCTGGACAGGAGCCTCGCCTCAGCCTCCTCCTGGGGGCTTAGTTTCTAGGAAGTCCTCACCTTATTCCAGAGTCTGGAGCTGTTCAGGAGCCCACGAGGGCGGGGCATGGTGGCAGGCAGGAGTGGCCATCTTTAAGTCAGAGCGTCACAGCAGAGGAGCCCACCAAGGCGAGGGCAGAGGGGCCCCCCTTGCTCACCCCTGCAACTCTGGCTGGCTTGCTTGGGTCGGCAGTCTCCTGGGCAAGGCTGAACAGGAGACCCAGTGGGCGAGGCGCCCCCGGAGGCTACATAGGCCTGTTGGCCAGGACAGCTGAGCCAACAAGCAGCAGTCCCCGGGGACCTGGAGGAGCAGGCTACGCTCAGCCTCGCCTTGCTCGTGGGTGCCGCAGGTGGCGAGCCGGCGCCATCCAGGCTCCCTGCGCATGCATTAAAGATGTGGAGGCGCCAGGCTGCGGTGCCACGAAAACGAAGACAAATTTTTAATCCCAAGCAAGAACATGAACACGCCGGGAGATGAGGTGGGGGCGGGAGG